AACAAGTTTAGCTATTAACCAAAAGGATGGAGATTCAGGTCCACTCAGAAGCACCTCAGAAGACAAGCCTGGACATCTACTTCTGAAAAATCAGCCTTTGAAAACCCTACAGAGCATAGTTCTACTCTGATTCACATGTGGTCACCATGAGTCAGAATTGACTTGACAGCGTCTGGTTTGTCTTTTTTATCTTATATTAATGCGCACACACATGCACACACCACTCTTACACAATTATGGAAGGAGTAGGTTTAATGAAGTAGTTTGCTTTAAAGAAACATCTCTGGAAGTATACCCAAAGATATTCAAGAATTAAAAGCAGTAGCTGCTTCAAAAGAGGGAGACAAAGGCAAGACAATTTTTTTTCAATGTTTCTCTTAGTATTTATTGAATTTTGTACCATGCACATGGATTATCTATTCAAACAATTATTTTTTAAAATGTTACTTCATTCCTAAATAAAATACTCATTTCAGTGTAGCTCAACAAAGACAGGTGGCCATAAACTGCCAGGAACATTGTAAGACAATGATATGAATTGTAAGACAGATATATGAGTACAACAGTCCCTGTCTTCAAGAAGCCCAAGTAAGTGGGTGAGACAGACAAGTGAGTCAATTATTTACATATTATAAGTACAATAATAGAGAAGTGTGACAACGCCATTAAGGGCAGAGAGCACAGGGAGTCCTGGGAAAAGCACCTAATAAATAATTCAGAAAACTAGGAAGATTTTCCAGGGTTTTAGAACCTACAGACCTGTCCGACACTTAGACCCCACGTGCCAAGAAAACACTGGTAAGAACAAGTAGGTGCAAGTGTGCCTGAGATAATGACCTTCAACTATAGGGTGGCAGGCCAGCTGGGTTACCAATAGCCTCAGTTAACCCCCAATGTGGTACATGAATGTCATTTTGTGTGCATGTGTTAAGAAGTAAAGAGTGCAGAAAGCGTAACTCTAAGCCCGTAGAAACGGTACAGAAAGGAGAGGAGACAAGAAAAGGGTATACCGTACAAGAGGGCCATGGGCTTAGACACAAAGAATGCTAGTAAGCCATACTTGGAGGACATCAGGCAATGTGATAAGGAAGCGATGCAAAATGGGGAGAAATGGAAAGGAGCATGGACAAGGTTCAGGAGCCTCTACTTTATCCTAATCACTGTGTGGGGTCAATGAAGAATTTTTAACAAGGCTGTGTGTGCTTATCCAATAATGTTTAGAAAAATTACAGTGGTGGCAGGGCTGATGAGGAGAAGAGAAGTGTCACACTATTTCATGGGAAAAGCAAACAACTCCTGGCCCAAGTTAGCAGTAGGGATGAAAAATAGAACATAGCTGCAGATATTTTAGAAGGTAAATTCAACAAGTGTCAATGATCATATGGCATAGTCAGTGATGAGAAGGGTAAGGAGAGAGTCCAGGATGAGGGGCAGGCACAACCAGCAAAATACTAATAACTGTCATTGTTTCCTCAACACCTGTGACATGCCCAACACTGTGCTAACATTGTTCATGGAATATTTCATCACATCAATCCTATCCATTTTATAGATAAGAAGATTGACATTCAGGGATGCCCAGTGTTGCAGCTAAGGTAGTGACAGGTCTGGTATTTGAGCCCAAGATTATTTGATTCCAAGACTAAGACTCAGATTTTTAAATGATTAGGCAATCTCAGGGAATATACCTTGGAATAGGCCTCCCCAATATTGTTATAGGAGCTCTGGTGGCATAGTGCCTAAGGCATTTGACTGCTAACCAGAAGGCTGGTGTTTCAAACCCACCAGCCACTCCTCGGAAAGAAGGTTGGGCAATCTACTTCCATAATGATACCACCTCAGAAACCTAAGGAGAGGTTGATATGAGTTGGATCCAACTCCACGGCAGTGAGTTTTAGTTTCAATAGTGTTGTATAAAATAGTAATAATGGTATTCATAGATAATGTTCCTTGAGGGTTAACCCTGTACTAGGCACTGTTTGAACACATTGCTTGCATTATTTCATTTGATCATAAATATCCTTTCAACGTAGTTACCATTACTATTTCCATTTTGCAAATGGTGAAACTAAAGCACAAGAAGGTTAAGTAACTTGTCCAATTTGCAACAACTAGTAAAGTCAGAGAATAAAACACTTGAAACTTGAGGATATAATTCATGCCATTTGACCATACAGATTTACTGTAGGTGGTAATGAATATCTATAGGGCTTTATGAATTAATTATAAAATGTTAAGACATCGCAAGGATCACTACCTCAAAATAGTAAGTTATCATATAAACATATACTAGCTTATAAAGCAACCCAGTGGTACAAGATACCAGTGCATATGTTCATTTCATATTTTTGATGCATCTGAATTCTCTGCCATACCAGATTAAGTAATTATGGATGTAGGCTTTATATTCAATGTCTCAAAAAAAGAAAGGGGAAAAAAGGATTGAGCCAAACTCTGGGATATGCAGGAGACAAGCAGTGATTTTATTACACAGATCCTTGTTTCCAACTGCTAAAATCAGTATTTTTTTATTGGCCCTTACTTGGGGATTACAGCTACAGAAAAGAAAAATGTGCCTTTGAAATGCATTACACTACACACTATGGTGTACCTACAATGGGGGATATACATGCTAAATTTGAATACCATTTTGTTTATGAGAAGGAAGTGAATGTCTCTTCTATAAATTTTGATGTTTGAAATTGCCTAATTTTCCCTTGGGGGAGTGGGTGATTTAAAGCAGAAAAGTTGAGGCAACCCATGAAGTGACTATAATTCTACTAATAGCAAGCAGAGGACTTAACACAGCATTATTTTTAGAAGCATACCACCTCTTACTATACGCTTGTTGTTGTTGTTATTATGTGCCGTCGAGTCAGCCCTGACTCATAGCGACCCCTCCTTGGGTTTCCGACCCCTCCTTGGGTTTCCGAGGCAGTATCACTACGGAAGTAGGATTGCCCAACCTTCCTTCCGAGGAGTGGCTGGTGGGTTTGAACCGCCAGCCTTCTGGTTAGCAGTCAAGTGCCTTAGCCACTATGCTACCAGAGACTCCTATACGCTTAGGAATATGTAACTTTAAAGCAGGTTACATTTCAAAGGTAATTGAGTCATTGGGTCACACCCAGTGAGTTGTAAGGTTACCTAGGGAGGCTTCTAAATGACCCAGGAATCCTAATTATCTCAATTCTATTAGATAACAGTCATTTTCAATCATATAAACACCATAAACTAACTTAGTAGATGATATGCAAGTCAGGGTTATTTTATTATGTCCATATTGATAATATTTCACAAATCACTAATGCTATGTAGAAAAGGCACATTTTTTTTTTTTTTTTTTTTAAATCAAAACTCCCTCAAGGATGTTCGCAGGAAAGGTATGGTTAATGGTTGAGACCTGGAAACCACCCATCACCCTTGGGTAGACTCTGACTCTTGGCCACGCATATGTGTTAGTAAAACTGTGCTCCACAGGGTTTTCAGTGGCTGGTTTTTTAGAAGCAGATCACCAGAGCGTTTTTCAGAGGCACTTTTAAGTGGACCCAACCTGACTTCTGGGCTCGGAAAGGGACTGCAAATATAAATGCTTTGTGAATGATTCCAAGGCTCCTGCTGTGCAGCTGTGGCTGTGCGGCGTCTCCAAGCAGGAAAGCCTCATGCTGTCCCACTTTCTCCAAACACCATTCATAACCGCCAAAGCCAAGGAGTCCTAAGGAGCACGGAAAACATGCAGGGCCCCTCCTTGTGCTAGGACTTTCAATTTCCTAGAACAATAAAACTGGGCCAAGTTGCTCATTTCCCACACTATGGGAAACCAGGAGTTGTTCACTTTCAGCAACCTGAACGGAATGAGTTAGGTTTGGAGTGGGTCAAAAGCCTACTCTTCCGATAGCTATGTAAATGTCTTGCTTCCCAGCCAGGTCCGCGCAAAGCCGAGCCGCGCTATTCAAAGCCCCCTTCCCAGCTGCGGTCCAGTGCTTTCATAGTGAACCCTTGAATGAATGAAACTGCCTCCTTTCTGCACAGTCCACAACTCAGCACAATTCCAAGCACACACTTTCTCACGACAGTAGCTCGCATTTCGCCTACTTTTGACTTCTACCTTTTTTTTAAATGAAATTTGCATTTGTAAGCAGATAATCCTTTGCCATATATTGCACACAGTAATACATTTTCAGGAGATATGTGTGACTGCCTAGCCAACAAGAAGCTTCGCTAGTCATACTTAACCCTGTGGGTAGAGTTGGAGGAAATGTCCACAGAAAGAGACAGAAACCTTGAAAATTCGCCTGAGGTTTCTGTTCTCCTCAAACCTTGCACTGAGAGCCACTGCACCCGGCAGCAAGCAGTGAAAGCCAGCCTTTCGCAGCGTCCTCCTTGTCCCGGAGTGACCACGGTCTAACTAGCGCGCGGGATGAGCTGGTCTGACCACTTGGAAGACTGCACAAAGAGTGAAGTGCAGGGGGGCGCATCTGGGCCCCGGACGCCATCTAGGGAACCCAGACAGAGAAAGACGCGCTTCTTAACGGGACTCTGCCAGCTAGGCACCCGGCCTTCGAGGGGCGGAGAGGAGTTGCCTTGTGCTCCCGCGGACGATCAGGCGTCCGGCTGCAGGACAGTAAAAGTGATTTAGGACAATTCCATTCTCATCCATTACCGGGTGCCGGAGTGAGCATCCAGCCAGCCTCTCCGGCCGCACGACAATCTAAGCCACTGACTGACTCCTAGAAAGGGGGCAGGGTCGGTGCCCTCCTACCATTGCTCTGGCAGCATCCAACTCCCGCCACCTCAACACAGTTAAGTCCCCACAAACCGAGAAAGTGAGTGGCCCCAGGGTGTTGCCCCAAAGTACTCGGAGGGCGTCCCCAGCCCGCTCCGCCCCCACCCGGGAGACACTTCCCAGGGCGGCGTAGGAGATCCACGTGTCCCATCACCCCCAGTCCGGGTGAAAAGAGCAGGCAGCGGCTTTGTCCCTCGAGCCTTCCCCGCCGGCTCACCTCTCTGCTGGCAATGCACGGCCACCCAGAGTAGAGAGGCCAGGAGCGCGCCGTCCCCGAGCATGTCGCCGCCGCGCCTGGTGCGCTTGGGAAGAAAGCAGCCAAGCTCTGGGGCTGTCTGGGAGTGAACTGTCCACGGAGTCCAGGCTCGGCCGTCACTCCCGCCCATAGGGCCCCTCGGACACACCTCCGCCCCTCCCCGGCGCCCGGCTGCTCGGCCCCAGAGACCCCTCCCCTGGGGGAGGGTCCACTTGCTAGCTGCTGGGACCAGAGAGGACGCCGGTCGCTCTCTGAAGCCCCAAGTGCCCAGGAACTAGGGACCTGCGTCCCTTGTTCCCCAACTCTGTAGTTGGTTTGACCTGCTGCAGTCACACAGGTCTGAGTGTGGGGGGTGGGGAGAGAAAGTGGGCTAGTTGGAGAACAAAATCCGCTGAAGGCCGCCTAGGCTGTTGGATTCTGAGAAAGTATTTGCCCTGTTGACCCTTCCCGCCCTCTCTGCGATCTGCGGTCTGCAGCCCCGCCAGGCCCCTGGAGCCCGCGCGCCCTCACCACCCGGCCGGCGCCTTCCGCCGTGGAACAGCAGCCTGGCTGCCCAGTCCACCATCCATCCCCCTTTGGCTGGTGGCCAAGGACAATGTAGGATTTCTCAAAAAATGAGATGTGACTTGGTTTTCACTTTGTTTTCCTAAGGAGGACAGGAAGGATCGTTTGGATCTAATTATTATTATTATTATTATTATTATTATCGTGTCCTTCGTGCTAGCAAAAGAGCATTGATTCGTTTAGAAGCTTTGGAGCTTAGTCTTAACACAAGATTTCAACTACTTTGTTCTTTTAGTTAATTAATTACTTTATTGTTATCTTTTTTTAACACAACATCTGGTCCTGGTGAAAGAAATTTTAATTTCCTCTGATGTTTTTTTCTGTCTAAGTATTCATAACACTTTGCAGATTTCACGTTCTTACAATACAAACATAAACTTCAAAAACCAAACTCACTGCCATCAAGCTGGATCCGACTCATAGCGACCCCGCCTTGGGTTTCCCAAGCGTAGTGCCTGAGGCATTTGACTGCTAACCAGAAGGCTAGCGGTTCAAACCCACAAGCCTCTTTTCGGAAGGAAGAAACCCAAGGAGGGGTTGCTACGAGTCAGATGCGGGTCGCGGGCAGTGAGTGGTTTCTTCGTTTATCACTACCGAAGTAGATTGCCCGACCTTCATTCCGAGGAGTGGCTGGTGGCTGGTGGTTTTGAACAGCAAACCTTCTGGTTAGCAGCCAAACGCCGTAGGCACTAAGCCACGGAAATAAAAGCCTGTATTACCATTCTGGGAGCTCTGGTCTTGCAGTGCCTAAAGCATTTGACTGCTAATCAAAGGGCTGGCGGTTCAAACCTACCAGCCACTCCTCAGAAAGAATATTGAGCAATCTACTTCCATAGAGAGGCGCCTGGAAAACCCAAGGATTAGATTTTATGGCAGTGAGTTTAGTGTTTTGTTTTTTTAATTACCACCCCCACGCTTTCATTTTGCCCTTTTTTGTATGTGAGTGCCTAATAGACTATTTTATCTGAGTTATGTAAAGGAACTTGACAACACTACCAACTACAGTTTTTCTAAGGACACTTCCTTAAACATTTGATGAATAAGATTGAATAATAATATTTAAATCTTATTCATAAAATGAATAATTGTAAATTAAAATACTTAGCGATTATTTTTAAAAATTATGGAAATACAGAACAAAAAAGGTAGAGTTTAACCCTTTAAAAACGATGCAGTACAGTTTGGTGGAAAAAAAAAAGTACTCACCACAGTGTCAAATTTAAAATACTTATAAAATTCTGCCCTGAAATAACTTTGTACACACACACACATTCCTATACCCATATATCTTTTAGAGTGCTTTAAAGTGTGTTCATATATAGATTATCTGTCATATTCTTCACAATTATGTGAAATGGACAGATATTTATCCTTGTATGAGAGATGAGGAAATGAGCTCAGGACATTGAAGGTCCCAAGGCCAGTAAATGTTCAATCAGAGCTGAATCCCCAGACCTTCTGATTTCTAACCCAAGGTCCTCAACACACCACACTGGAATTATGCAAGATGAGATCAGAGTCACTTAGGAGGAATCACAAGGGGTCATCTGTCTCCCCACATCCTGGGTCCTAGTTTGGACCTTAGTCAGACTTCATCTTTGAACAGACAAGGAACTCGCAGGTTTTTCAAGGGAAGCAAAGGGTCAGCACGTTTGGGGAGTGAATAAGCCAAAAATCCCATTGCCACTGAGTCGATTCTGATTCAAATCAACCCTAGAAAACAGAGTGGAACAGTCTCATAGTTCCAAAGACTATATGTAATCTTTATGGAAGTAGACTGCCACATATTTCTCCCACAGAGTGGCTGGTGGGTTCAAACTACTGACCTTTCAGTTAACAGCCACACACTTAACTACTGCGCTACCAGGGCTTCTTGGAGAGTGAATAGGAAGCCTCAAAAGATGCAAGTAAGCACAAATCATCACTGCTGAAAACTGAGCAGAAAAGTTTCAGAGAAAGAGGAATTTCAGAAGCCTGTTTAATGAAGGGACTTGGATAAAATGGAGTAGTGACAATGTCACAATTCTTCATGTCATCTAAAATGCTGCAATGCAATTTTTCTATTCCCTGGAATGCTTAGGAATATCTAAATTACCAGGTACATCAAGAAAGTGCAGGGTGACCTGATCATGATGAAAATAAGTATAAAAATGTACATTATTTATGAGAAGCTAGACATTCAGCTCAACTAGGCACACACATACACACACAAAGCCTGCTTCAAAATCATCTATAAAAAATGAGCAATTGAAATAGCAAGCATTAGTTAAATGGTTAAGTCATTTATAGTAAATGAAGACAATAGGCCATTATGCAGCTATTTAAAAAAGTATGGTTCTTCTAAAATTTGAAAAAATATGTCCATAAGTGAGAAAGGCAAAATCCCAGACACTCTGATTGCAAAAATGTTGAAGCAGTATATTGACAGAGAACTTCCAGAAATGCAAGCTGAATTCAAAAGAGGATGTGGAACAAGCACTATCAGATGTCAGATATCTGATATCAGATGTCAGATATCTGATATCAGATGTCAGATATCTGATATCAGATGGATCTTGACTGAGAGCAAAGAATACCAGAAAGATGCTCACTTGTGTTTTATTGACTATGCAAAAGCATTCAATTGTATGGATCATAACAAATTATGGATAAAATTGAGAAGAATGGGAAGTCCAGAACACTTAATTGTGCCCATGAGGAACCTGTACATAGACCAGGAGGCTGTAGTTCAAACAGAGTGAGAGGATACTGCATGGTTTAAAATCAGGAAAGGAGTGTGTCAGGGTTTTATTCTTTGACCATACTTATTCAATCTGTATGCTGAATAAATAGTCAGAGAAGCTGGACTATATGAAGAAGAACATGGCATCAGAACTGGAGGAAGGCTCATTAATAACCTGAGATAGGCAGACGACAGAACTTTGCTTGCTGAAAATGAGGATAACTTGAAACACTTACTGATGAAGATTGAAGACTACAATCTGCAGTATGGATTACACCTCAATATAAAGAAAACAAAAATCCTCACAACTGGACCAATAACCAACATCTGATAAATGGAGAAAAGATTGAAGTCATCAAAGACTTCATGTGACTTGGTTCTACAATCAACACCAATGGAAGCAGCAGTCAAGACATTAGATGTCATATTGTATTGGGCAAATCTGCTGCAAAAGATCCTTTTCAAGTGCTGAAGAGCAAAGACATCTCCTTGAAGACTAAGGTGTGCCTAACTCAAGCCATGGTATTTTCAATTGCCTCTTACACATGCC